AACAAAGGCCATCCGGGGCAAGGTTGTCTCCAAGAAGACGGCTGTGATCGTCCAGAAGAAGTCTGCCACAGTCAACACACACGTATCCACACTACTAAAGAACCTCCTTGACTTTGAATGGGACTTCATATACTGTAGTTCAGTGAGCTCTCTCTCGTCTCTCACTCTCTCACTCCATGTGTTGTTTTGACAGACTGACGTTGCCACATTATGTCACAAGACACTTTGGTATTACCAGCTTTATAAGCATTGTTATAGTACATTCCCAATTCTAGAGTTATTTTTGATTAATTATTTAGTTTGTTGCTGTTTTACAGTGGCAACACTGGTAAGGAGAGGAACAAGGACCAGCAAGGTGTTGGTCATCTCTACCTGAACCAGAAGATTCCTCTTTCTATCAGGACTGTCCGCACCCATCCAGAATCTTCCTGAAGTGAAGCATGCACCTACCTCACAGGACTATTTCAAGAGGCAAAGCACAAGCCCCACATTTAGCTATTGCTGCATATTTTGTAAATGTTCTTACTGATGTATATTTTTAAAATGGTGTTAATGCAAATTTAAAAAATGTTCTTACTGATGTATATTTTTTGTAATGGTCTTAATGCACATTTAAAAATGTTGTAATAGTACAGTTTGTTTTCTAAATGTTGCTTATAATGCATTTGTTCAAAATGTTCTTACTGATGTTTTTTTTTTTTACAGTAGCGGTATTTATGTTGACACTGCCTTTTTAAATAAAAGTGTGTTTGCATTAAATCCTTTCCAAATTGTTTATTGCTTATTTTGCATAATGTTCATAATAATGAATATTTTAAGCAGATGTCTGTAACCCACAGAACAATACATATTTTATGTTGATTAATTAATAATGACTTTTTAGATATTCTCAAATGCTAAATTGAGTTGTTGTATTGTCAATCAAGTAATCTACTGACAACCCCCTAACCAGAATGTTACTGTGAATTATTACATATTTTACAGTAATAAACTGAAATTGTTCAACAGTATGAATACTGTAGAATTTCAGTATATTGCTGGCGTCTCTGCTGCCAGTATTTTACTGTTAATTGAAACAATACAGCAGTATACTGTATTTTATGTTTACACAGTAAGAGGCTGTAAAGTCATTTCACGGTATGAGTACTGTAGTATTACAGTAAAGTACAGGAGTCTGTGCTGCCAGCACTTTACTGTTATTTGACAGGAACATTTGTTACAGTGTAGGCATGAAGGCCGGACAGCTGAACATGTTTTTATTAAAGAAACAAACACCTGCAACCTTTCATCATATTATGCTGAACATAAAGAGAATAACACACCTTTTCTGAGTGCCATCATTGAAGAAGAAGAAGAAGAAGAAGAAGAAGAAGAAGAAGAAGAAGAAGAAGAAGAAGAAGAAGAAGAAGAAGAAGAAGAAGAAGAAGAAGAAGAAGAAGAAGAAGAAGAAGAAGAAGAAGAAGAAGAAGAAGAAGAAACACTTTATTAATCCCTTACAGGGACATGTCTGTCCCCACTCTGTTGTGTTTACACACATTACACACACAGGGGAGGATATACATGCACAAACACAGAGGATATACACACACACAACCACATGCAGATAGGAGAAGTGGCAGATTAGAGAGACTGCCAGGTACCCGGCGCCAAGGGAGCAGATCGAGGTTAGGTGCCTTGCTCAAGGGCACCTCGGCAGTGGCCTTGGAGGTGAACTGGCACCTCTCCAGCTAGCAGCTCACTCCATATGATTTTTTTTGGTCCGATCGGGAGGTGAACCGGCGACCCTTCGGTTCCAAGACCAAGTCCCATACAGACTGAGCCACTGCCGCCTCTTGCACAGAAACATACCATATGCTAGCTAGTTCTATTGTCTAATTTGGAGCAAATGCAGCAGTATATAACATGAAACCCAAGGAATGTCTAGTGGAAACGGCAAATAAGACATATAGGGTTTGACAACCAGTTGGAGGTGCACCACAGCATGTTTCTTAGCAACACCGGCCCTTAGTTGTAAGTCAACTGTTGCTATTGGAAACGCCCATTCAGAGGCATCAATGCCATTTTCCACAAATATGTTTGAACCTTTTTTCGAAACAAATAAAAAAAACATGACTTTAACGGGAAGTATGTCAGCTCATCTTTGCTTCATCCTTTGTTCCTAAGGTTTGAGAGTAAAAGTAAAAGTATTTCAAAGGTCACTCTTAAGCTGGTAGAGTGATTCAATTGAAAAACCTGAACCATTTAACTATGTACTGTACTGGCTTTGATTTTATTCAGTAACCTACCGAACGCTGTTCTAAAACTTATTTTGTTCACCTTCTTTCCATCTTACCCCGAGGCGTTCGCTGAGTTCGGTAGAAGGAAGGACAGAGAAGCATTTTGCCAGGAGCATAGAATCACTAGATTTAAGTCAGGGGCTGTTTGACTCCTCTGGAGAATGACAACCACAAAGAAACAAAGACGGAGTGATGGTTTGACTGACAGCCTTTTATGTCTGTTCACTACAAGGTCAGATGTACCCCAAATAGAAAATAGATGTGAGTGATCCTGAATTTCTTAAGGAACGCCTTTCCTGTAGGATACAACACTGTATGTTTTGGTAAAGTGAAGATTATGAATTGTGAGCGGCAGCGAGAAGGACTAAAGTGTCGACATTAAACGAGTTAGCCAAATAGCGGCGGAGTGAAATTATCTAAATATAATTGTGTGACTGCTGGCATGTCAACTTCAACCTTGTCTCATAAATGCCATATGGAAGAAATGTTCTCGGAGGTTAATTTCACTATATTATCAAGAGAATTAAGGCAATTACCAACACATGACAAAACGGGCTATTCAGAACCAATTGTGAGGATAACTGACCGTGCTCTGTCCTCTCAGCAGGTGGTTATTCATAATACAGCAGGTGATTCATATGAATTATTTCCTACCTGTCATTCACTTTGCTCCACCGCCTCAGTCTGTCCAAGTAATTGTAGTCCTGTAGATTTCACTTTGGCACCTACAGCGGGATTCTTGGCTGACCTTCCTGGGCGCTGCCTTCAAGCAATTATCTGTGGACATTTTTGGAGAGATTAAGAGCGTAAATATTCAAGAGGGAATCCCGAAACAGCTAGCGCTCAATACAAAAAGCAGTTTGGACCACGGGAAAACAAAATATGGTTACAGGAAAACAACCAGTATCATTATTTTCAAGGCAAAACGCTAATTTGATGTTGATGTTCTGTTCTGCGTATAAAAAAAGGCCAGTAGTAATCCTTTGGTACCGAAAAATACAGTCAACACCCTGTTTCTACTGGATACAATTGTGCAGTGCCAAATTGATGTGTGCACCTAAGAAGCAAATAAATATATCATAATCTGTTTTTTAAATGAAGAATTACCGTACCACGCATTGGTATTTCCCACATACGCTTGTTCAATATCCGAGCAATAAAACCAGCAGGACTTCAATTTGCCTTTGAACATTTAATCTCCACAACGAAAACACTTCCACACAAAGCAGCAAGAAGCTAAATAAGAGTACAGGGTCATTTGGCTCCAATAAAGTATTGGTAAAAAGGAGTTTCCATGGAGACTAATATGATCGCAACTAAAGACACATAAAGGGGCTTTTTGGAACGAGTGAAGCAAACTGTGGGACACGAAGATAACAAGCTTAGACAAAGAGACATAATGTCTCCTCACACAGGGCTCAACCCGTAATCAACATGTACAGTAGCTCCAAAAAGGTGGTAGACACTTTGGACAGCTGAATGTCAAATATAGATTAAGTGCTCTGTGAATCAAAACATTAAAGGCTGACTGAAACTCCAAAAGCTGGATTTAAGCACCACACATTAGCTTTATATGTCAACCAGTCTTCAAAGGAACAAGCTCTGACTAGTGTACAAAATAACCCTATTCACATATTAACAGCGGGTTGTATACAAATGAGTTGTTCAGGGCCACCTGCTCCAAAGAAAAGGAGGAAGTACTTGATCTGTTTTAGAGGGTTAATACCAATGTGTCCTCAATTAATAAAAGAAAAACCTACTTCAGTGTTGTTTCCATTTGTTTATATTTTAGTTGTAGTAGTTTGGCAAATGTATAGTGTATTCTAATATATATATATATATATATATATGTATGTGTATATATAGGGAGGTTGTGGCTCAGTGTTAGTGCGCTGATCTTCGGATCACGGGGGCACTGGTTCGAATCCCGCTGCAGTCAACATTCCGCTGTGTCCTTGGACAAGACAGTTCACCCCAAATTGCTCCTGTGGGGATTGCCCACAGTATTGAATGTATGTAAGTCGCTTTGGATAAAAGCGTCTAACAAGTGACATGTAATGTAATCAGTGGTGACTCATCATTAGGGGCAGGTGGGGCCCACCTAGTTTCTGCAGCCCCACCAAGTGTTGGCAGAAAGTAATGCAAATAATAATTCCCAAAATATGCAAATAACATATATTTTAAGATTATGTTTAGTCATCTGATTTGTCTGTACATTGCTGTTTTAGTCTGCGTTCTTCTAATTAGTGTCTACAGCCCCTCTCTCTGCTGTAGAAATGAACGTGTACTGTAAAACTACACTGCGCATGCTCAGAGTATTTTTCTATGTGTGCGGCAAAAAAATGATCACCATAGGGACACTGTGCTGCCAGACCCACCAAACGTCATCTCATAATTCAGAGAGCTGATTGGCTGTAAGTGTGCCGCGAAAAGTTTAGATGAGAAGAGGAGATGAGAGAGAGCAGCTTATAGCGATTCAAATCAGTAAAACGGAAAGAAAATGAATGAAGTTGACCATCTACTTCAGCTTTCGTAAGTTCATTTTATGTCAAACCTTTTGTTGATCTTCTGTGTTTTGCCTATAGGCTATTGCTCTGCTGGATCGACTGATATTGTGACCTCTGTGATGAGTGTTTGTGTTTTCCTTCTATCGGCTCCCAAACGGCTCTTCAGTTTACCACATACCTTTTATAATTCAATCAAATGTAGCCCTGTTTTGACTAATGATTTATATGTGTACACATATATCACTTAAATTATTCAATACATCCTTTGTACTGAAGTATTTAAAAGTAAAAATTACATATTACATATAAATGATTTGCTGTGGCCAATTGTTTTCATTGCATTTACAGACCCTTGTAACTCTCTGATACCACCCAATCAGCACTCACTTGCTTGTAGAACCACGCTACACAAAGCAGATAGCAACACCGAGCCTATAACAATTTACGCATAGACATTTAAAAAAAGGGGCTACTGTATCGACATTTTTAAATTGTATTTAAAGAAAAAGCCCTAACAAAACAGCAGGGCTCTATTTCAGTATTAACTATAGAAAAAAAGACATCAACAGCTGACATCAAATCGTTGCTGAGCCTAAAGATAATCATAAATAAATAACATAGTGAAAATAAATAAACAAAACAGCAGAATCCAACCGTCTCTAATCATAAAAAAACATAATAAAAATAAATGTACTGCAATGCTCAAAACAGCAGCATCCAACAGTCTCTAATTGTTGGATATTACATGTCAGTGCATGCATGCACGGAGCACGGAGATCATCATATCATTCTGTCTTGTATTACTTAAAGGTCACCTATCATGCTATTTTTAGGCAATAGCATAGGTCTCAGATATATAAAAATATATAAAAAACATGTCTATGAAGTGTTTTGCTCAAAATGTCAAACAGATCACCCATTCTAGCCATGCCTCATATCCCTCTATTTCACTTCCTTTTCAAAAGTGCTGATTTTGGGTATAAAGCTTTAAAAAATAAAAATAATTGATAAAAAAATAAAAAAGGAGGGGGCTGAGCTCATGCGGGACCCGGCAGCTACTGTCTAAACTAAATACTGCCGTGATGAAACGCCATATCATGGATTATCAAGGATTTTTTCTGAAACAGTATGGAGCTCAAAGGCTTTCTCTCTTGCCGCAAGGTGAGTTCCTTTTTATTTCCTGTTTATTTACACACATGCTCTCCAGTACAGGTTAGCTCTGAGTGTTAGCGATGCTAATGTAAACACCGACCATATCACGACCGACACATCACTAGACGGTACCATTTGAGCAGAATACAGAGGGGTGTTACCATGATTTAGGGAATAGGATATTTTCCTTCTATGTCTATTTCTGTGTTTTTTTCTTTTTCTTTTTGAATAAAGCTGTGTTTTCACAACCTCAACAAACGCAGTCTGAACTGCTTGTTGATGTTATGTACACTTTAATTAAAACATACTCCTCCGTGTGTTCTCCATCCACCACTCTGGGCAGTCTGCACAAGGATTTCTTGCTTTTTTCTTTGAACCATTACTTTAGCCAGTTGAGTAAACAAAAAATCCAACTTGCAATGCATTCATGTTATATTCTCCTTTAACAATGTTAAATGTTACAATGCTAATGTTCATAGATCTGATACAAATAGTCATTTCAGGCATTTTTTTACATTTGATCATGAGAATGATATTTCCTATACGAATACATTGTAGTTATCTCTAAAGAACCATTATACTATTGTAGTTTACCCATACACTGTGTAAATATAATCAACTGAAAAAGAGGCTACTGTAAATGAGAGCCCATTCATTCAGACTATGTAGAATAGCTCATACCTAGTTTGAATGTGTATTTTAACCTCTGAATACACTGAATTCCCAGGAGCACGCAGTTTGCGTCCCTTTGAAACAAAGTTTTGTGTGAAGGTAGAGAACTCACAAAGGTGATTCAGATTGTGATAATGAGCAGTGGTGAATCTGCCTATAAAACAGACATGAAGCCATAAAGCGTTGTTCAGAGGTGACCTTTATTTTTGAAGAGCTGCTGTGTGACATGCTGTGAATTAGACAACATCAACGCTCCAGAAATGTATGCCTCTGTGCAGCTTGACCTCTAAGTCAACAGTATGTCAAGAAAAACGGGAACGATCGCAAGGAAAACAGACCCTGCACACACAGCAATAAATGTATGACAATGCACGCTCACCAGAGAAACACTGATGTGTATCTGCCGGCGAGCCACTGCGGCCACTGTCATTGGTTACAAGGTGAGTCACCTACGTGCACTCGAGAAACGTATCGATGTGATCGAGTTGGGATTTTTGCTTATCACCACAATATCAAGTCACCTTGTTCTTTTATTTTTTTCTCATCAAAAGTCAACAACGGTGCTATCTAACCCTGATATGGAGCCAATTAAATCCTTGTCTCAATCTATGGTGCTGTGAAGCGCATTCTAATTTGTTGTCAATTCAACCTTTAAAGGGGACAACAAGAAAAACTCACTTTGTATCTGTTTGTGTGCGGTCATTTAAGTATTTAGAGTGCCTACCAACCTACAAACTGTGAAATAAAGTCAGTTTGTGTAAGCTTCCTCAGACACAAAACATCGGATTCAACCAGCCATTCAGGATTGGATCTCCTTCCTATGTCACACACAGGCTCATAATAATATTTGCCCCAACCTCCACATCTGGGTACCTCTATACCACGACTTGAGAACTACCTTAGCAGTTTTTCTCGCCAGCAAATAAGAGCAAACCGGGCATTTTTGGGAGGAAGACTTAAAGAGACCCGCCCTAAAACAGAGCATTTTAGACAGATGTTGAATACAGATTTATTTAGAGAAAAGAAAAAAAAGTTAAACGTGTTTTTTGAACATTTAAGCGTGCAACCATGTTCTAGTAGAAACCCAAAATACCAGTATGAAACTGAAAATAAGTATGATATGTACCCTTTAATATCCCCAGGTCTTGTATCTGTCCTTTTTATTAATGTGTGATTAGAGGAATTAGAGCAGATTAAGTAAATAAAGTCAGTTTCACAGGTGTTCACCGACTGAGATTCAGTACCAAGAGCTGTCACAGGGTTGAGGGAGAAGGTGAAACTATTGACACACAGAGGTACAGCCAAGCCACTTTACATCCCAATCGATCACAGGTCCACTCTACTACAAATGGCATTCCTCTTTTAAAAGTCCGACTTTCAGGATCCAGACACCTTGGTTCAACAATATCTTCAGTTACAGTCAGTGGCGGTTCTAGAACATTTTAC